GAGTCTTCCCAGAGCGCAGAACCGGGGAGCCGCGTCGAAGTCGCCCTCGTGCATACGCATGTAGGTTCCTCTCACGCCCCTCTGCGACGACAAGGTCAGCAGCGCTGGCTCGTCATGCTCAAGACGAGTACACCGCCTTGTGCCCACCCTTAGATCTTCCAGCACGAAGTCGCGCTGCTCACATCCTCCAAGTGACTGGTCTAGGTCGCGCCACCGCGCTCCGACACCAGGCAGTTTATGTAGTTGATCTACATCGTCTCCTGCTGCCATCCATGTCCTCATTCGGTACGGATTACTCGTTCTGAGTGAAAGGGCACTTGCTGGCGCGCTGATGTACGTCGATTATTGGACCGCATGGGCGAGACGACAGTTCCCTGGCCCCTTCTCTTAAGCATTAACCAAGATTCAGCCTCTCGACTAGTTTCGTTTGGTCAAGACGGCGCTGCATCTAGTGGTTGGTCAGGCTCCGGGTGTGTTCTCCTTTGCGGCGATCATGCCCTCTCCCTGCACTGTATACTGAGCCTTCTTTGGGATGCTCGGTTTCGTTCAGTCTCCTTATATTATACATCCCGGGCTATGTGTCGTCCCAGTGTCACGCAACGAGTATCATCGCCAATAGGCTTTTGGCGACGGCACCGCGTCGATCCTGGAAACGCCAAATGCGCGCCCTGGCAACATGGTTTCTTAAGAACATCGTGACGGAAATCCGGCAGAGATGTTCGGTCTTGAAATGCACGCTCAGACTGTGGATGCCTTTTCGAAGTGCGTAAGGACTCAGCTTCTCCTCCCTGCTCTGCCGTGAAACACACATGGTTCCTTCCTCCCCGACACTAACCCTGGCGGAGCTGGCCGAACGCCGATCATGGGATTTCGCCCCCAGAAATCGCTGACAGCTAGCCATGCTGTGAGGCCTGCTCTGCTTGCCTGCTGGCTCGTCCCATGGGCATGCACTCACAGACCGTCGATGATGCTCGGACGTGGCTGATCGCAAGTTTGCGATCGCGAACTACCCTCAGACACCCTGCATCCTTACTGCGAGTCGATCAGTCCCTGACGCGTCTCTCCCTCAAACACGATCTTGCTTCTAGATCTTCTGAGGGGGTCCTCCCTACGGGAATCTCTGAAGCAAAAGCGAGAGCCCGATGTTGCGACGTTGGGGATCTTGTCGGATCGCGAGTCTCGCATCGGGCTTGGCTGAATTCCTTGATGATTTGCACGTGTCACTCTCTCAACCTCTAGCATCGATCAGTAGAGTCAGCCACAATAATCCGCGTCTCCTTTTTTTGGACCTTCAATCTCCGTCATCTGGGTTGATCCCTGTTATACCTCCAGCTGCCCGGGTGCCCCTCTCACTAGGACAAGTTTACACTAGTGTGCTGTCAGCTTCCGTCTCGTCGAGTTGTCTTGAGGTCATCTGCGCTAACGGCCTTGTAAGCGATGTTCATCGCCCAGCAAGGCCTAGCTATCCACGGACTGGTCTGTCGATCTCGTCTGGGTAGATTTAGGTATTCTTGGAGGCATCCGTGGAAGGGCCGGAGGAGTGTCAGTTGCCTCTCAGTTAAGGAGGTCGTGAATCATGACTTGCCTGCCGGGAGGAGAGGTTAGTCCTGAAGAGTCTGCTTAGTTGGGCATCGTGGGCAGAGCGTGATATCAGCGGCGGAACAGGTCCGCTTCATGGTGCAACTGCCTATCAAGCGAAGCAGATACAGTCATACTGGACTCCTAGAGTATGGAGGCGTCGGCTAGATGGTGGAGACTCGTCGCGCATGTCGTGTGTTTATGCCCGATCGAGAGAACGTCTGTCCTTCCCGCTGATTACAGGCTTGCTAGCGCGACCTAGTGCAGATAGCGTGTACGCTTTAGAACCTTCGCTAGGAGGGTCAGAGAGATCTTGGCCTCTAGTTCCACGTGTTTTGGCCGGCGACCGACCTAGAACGGTCTACCGTGTTTAAGGATTCCCCGCTGATTGGCATCGTCAAACACTAATAGAGATTCGGGATGGCCGGGCGGGGAAGCTGAGCTGACCGATAAGACGGCGTGGTTTGCTTCCCTGCACACCGGGGAGGGTGTCGTCACTCCGTATCGCCGCGGAGAACCGTCTTCTCCCCCTCACCTCTCCCCTCACCTTAGCCCCCCACCTCCCCACTAATCAGGTGTCAACTGACGAGAACGCGCGGGGATAAACCATGTGTTGTAGATGATAGCGCGACGGGCCAGGAACCCGTTCGCAAGCCGCGTGTGGCTACACCGTGCTAGTCTGCCACACCTCCTGCGCGTTCTCCATCTCGAGCCTCCAAGACGAGCAAGAGGTCGCGTGACCACTTACTAGTCTTGGCCAAGAACAGATGATAGCTCCGACCTTGACGGACTCGGGTGCACTCGCCCATCTGAATAGCGCTGCTCCCTGCTGCTGGTCAGCCTAGGCGAAGGGGCCCACGTATGCCGACTGACTGCATCGTTAGTAGCTCTCACTCGCTCCATTCCTACGCCACAGGTTCGAAGGATCCTCCAGCAGGAGCCCGTAGCGGCCGTCGACGGGCGGTTGTCGGCCATCTCCCGCTCCAAGGTCGGGAATCGCCTGCCCGGAGACGCTGGGCAGGTTGCTGCCCCTGACATGAGTTTGTTTGGCACGACTTGAGGCCCTGCGCTGAGAGTTGAGCGGGAGAAGACGAGAAGGCCTCTGGGGTGTTTCCCCCCCTCCCTACTGACATGACTGGTTCAATGCTGGGATTTGCCAAGGGTACGGCTATCTGTCGCCGATGCCGTTGTGGTAAGAAATGCGTCGGACCATCCTGTGCTCGTGGGCTTGCGTATGTCCTTGGAAAAGCTACTCAGCCGTCAGTCTTCTCCTTTTTGTGGCGGACCGGGTTTGGTACGATAAGGAGGTCACCAATGTCGTGGCTGTTCTTGGATCGCCCAGTGGCGAGCCATCGCGTCTGGAGGACCGCAGTTGTTCTCTTCGTGTTTCTGGATTACAGAAACAAGTCCCTCCTGGATGTCATGGGCTCGTGCTTGGTCTTCGGGACGCAATCTCAAGGGAGACGGTTGCCAGCTGTCGAGGCCGATCCCCTTGGAAACCTCGAGCTTAGCCAGGGGGGGACCCGTTGGGAGAGCCGCTGGGGGCAGGAGGGGGTTTGTGACAAACCCAGATAGGAGAGTGAGATAAAGGGGTTTTCCGATATGGCTGGGCTTCTTTTGTCCTGCTCCGTCGTGGCTATATTCGGGTTGCAGGCTTTGTTTGATATTTGAGGGGGCGAGATGGGAACTCATAGGACCTCTTGATTCAAGATGGAGCTGAACTCTCTGTCATCGAAAGGCTGTGAGCTGATGTGGATGTAGTGTTCGGCCAGAGGATGGGCGTAGCAATGACATACATACTCTCTTTCCAGTTGCTTCTCTCCATCCCAACTTGTGACCTTCCAAGTCAGTGGTAGACTTGTCAGCTCCATCCCACCGCCTCGACCAAAACTCTGGCCACGACCATTCTTGACCTTCCCTATGCAGGTTCGTAGCTACGTCCTTGACCCTGAGAGCCGTCCCCGATTTGTTTCCGAAGCTCATACCACAAACTTCCAGTCCCCCTTTTCCGTCCTTGAAAGAAACCAGTCCTGTAGTTGGGAGGTTAGGGTGCTTGAGACTGCGTGGCAGCACTCCTTTGCATCCCACTGATTTGCCTACCCTCATATTCGCCTACCATTGTCAGGGTGTTTGCTGTGTGTGCCGAATCGGCCAGAGGTGTAAATGTCTTCGGGGGCTGCCTCCGTTTAGTTGTCGTGGTGCTGTTATTGACAGCGATGTAGTGTATTCGAAAAGGGGTAGACGCTTCCGGTTGAGCTGAGCCGCCCGTTCTAATGCGAAGTATACAGTATACCATAATGCAATGAGCCCTGCCTACCAAGTTAATGGGGACTCTTGCGATGCACGAAACATAGGGGTTGCAGCTAGGAAATACTCTGGTAAGAAAGCTATCCCTTCTTGATATAGTTACCATGTCATGGTTGAGTCCGAATGAAGTTACTGTTCTATCTTCACCCCGTGTCCATGATATGCGACCATATTGAGCTCATGCGGTGAGGGTGATGCACTTCCCAGAAGAGAGCGGAGCTGCGCTGAAGAGAACCAAGTCACCGGAAGAGCTCGTACATGGGAGGACTTCTGATGGCCGGCTGGGGTGTCCGCATCCCAAAGAACCTGGAAACGGAGGATGTGGCGCCCCTAGATCATGTTATCTCGGAGGAAGGATACGGGACCATGGAGGTTAAACGAGAGGACGGTAGCAGCTTTTGATATCAACCTTGGTTTTCCCATAAATATGTCACATCCAAACCAAAACGGGAGTCAACCCTGACCTGGCTTGGCGGGATAACGGAGGGACAACGCAGCAGCTTCACACTTCTTTGTATTGCAGAAGCCATGCCCACGGCAGAGCCCCTTTTGCTCTGGATAGGGGTTTATGTGTAGTAGCAAGCATTGGTTTGATATCTCGTCCTGGCCCCTATTGTGGTAGCGCCTTGGGTGAGACGACGTCCCATGGATATGTTATCCCAAACTACCCTGTTGGCGTCAGGATATCCTTCGTAAGGGGGTCTGTTACCAATTATAATGAGGAGAGACACAGGGGTGGGGTGGGCTGGGGAGGAGGCGGTGGTGCGACAGAACGTATTCTTTACCATGACAGGTCTTACATAACAGTCAATAACGAGCAGCTTCGTAAATCGAAAATAGAAGACAGCTCGACAGGGGTGTCCGACATAGAAATGGCCTTGTGCGAATGATAGATGGTTACAAGGTGCCCTGTCCAGATGATCCCCAACAAGGGGACCTTAAGCTGCAAACGCGCGAGAGCTCTCTTTTCCCGAAAGCCGTACTCCCTCATATGGAGTGTAATGTACATACATTGCAATAAAAAGGCACCCACTCATACAGTCTAGAAGAGGCATATACCATGGTCGGGCTGACCAGGGAATGGTCGTGCCATAGGTCCGTTCCGGAGCACCTCTTTAGAACCGGTATTTTTGCTCCTTCCGCTTCTCGCCCCGCCGGTCCTCGTCCCGCTTCTGCCGTTTCCGGCTCTCCTGAGCGATCATATCGGTCAGATCATCGTCGTACGACGACGACCACTGTGCACCAACACCCTCCTCCTTTCTGCCCGCATCGAACTTCCGCCGCAACTCGTCCTTGCTGATACCATCCTGGTTCATCAGTGCGTCCGGATCCAGCGCGACATCAACATCACCGGGCTTCTTGCGCTTTCGCCCGGCCTCATCGTCCTGGCCAAGCACAGGAATCGCGGGCTGCTTGGAGAGGTCGTAGGTCTTATCGGAGCCGAAGAAGCCCTCAGCACGACCGTGTCGCTCGGCGATAACTTGGTGGGCAGTGCGGGGGCCGGCGGTGCTCTCCTCCGTTTCGTAGCCGCGGCGCGTCTTTCTGAGGTCGAACTCGCCAGCCAGGTTGGTTTCGACTCCTGCTGGCACGCCGGCAGGGAAGTCGGTATGAACCGTGCTAGCGTAACCAGCTGGTGTTTCAACACCGCTCGGGGTCTCGACGCCACCAGGGATGTCCGCGTCCTCTTCGTCGGATTCTTCTTCCTCCTCCGACTCCTCTTCTTCAGATTCCTCAGCAGGCGGCTGCAGCTCGCCCCAAAGGGTGCGCTCGACTGGCTCTCCCTGAGGTATTTGAGGTGCCTGCGGTTGCTGCGGCAGCTGTTGCGGCGGTGGCTGCTGCTGCTGCTGCTGTTGTTGCTGCCCTTGCTGCGGCTGGAAAGGCATGCCTGGTGCGCCACCGACGACGCCGAAGATGTCACCCCCGTAGAGGGGACGATTGTATTCGTCCAGTGGCGGCTTGCCCCATTGGCCGGCTTGGAAGCCCCAAGCCGCACCCGTAGGTAGAGGGGCGTTGAGGCCGGCAATCTTGAGGGTCGGATAGGATGGCGGGGGCCCAAGGCGTTGCTGTTGGAGAAGCCATGGAGGTGGAAATCCGGGCTGCATGCCAAGTGCCTCTCGAAGACCATCGCTGAGATCGCCGGGCTTGAAGACCCGATAATCAGCCTCCCACTCTTTGCCTTCGTAATAAACATCTCCGAAGCGGGTAAGATCTGGTTTCGTTTGGAAGCGGAAGAAGGCATCGTAGAGCTTCGCATAGTCGATGTCCAGCTTTCCCATCTTAGGTTGCACCCTCTCCCGCTGCTTCTGCTTCAGAGACTGCTCTGCCTGCTTTTCCAGCACCGCATCACGCATCTCCGTAATTCCGGTTTCCGCGATGAACTTGGGCAGTTTGAAGGGTGGCTTTTCGACACCCCGCTTGCTTGACAGGTACTCTCGTTTCAGTGACCAGTGACTCGGTACCGGCACGATGTTTCGCTGTGCCTTGATCTGCACCAACAAGCGAGGGTCTGATGATGACACATCATGCCATTCCACAACTTCCGGGTTCTTCACTAATGCCTTGAGTTCTGCGATGGAGAGCTTGTTGAGCTTCTTCCGTTTCTTTTTCGAGAGCTTGGTCTGCCCGCTCGCTTCCTCTTCCTCGTCTGGGATTTGATCATCGTCACTGAAGAAGACCTCGCCCTTATTCCCGGCATTGGCTTCCTTCGCGATTGCGTCATCCTCCAAGGTCACGCCGAACTTGGTGAAGATATTCTTGTACATGGCAAATGTCGGATCCTCATCTTCGTCGTCGAGAGGAATAAAGTCCTCCGTAACCGGTCCATCAGCCTCGACCTTATCTGAGGAGTCTGGATCCCTCTTGACTTCGAGCTTCGAGGCTTCATTCTCCGCGAGTTCGCCATCTTTTTCAGACTCCTCGGTTTCGACGTTATCGTTCGTGGGTTTAACTCCATTCTACAAACAAAATCAGTGAACCGGTACTCTGTTCAGGTTGGGGTTCACAAACCTCAGCCTGGGATTTTTTCTGCTCCTTCTTCTTTGCCCGGCGCAATTGGTTTTTGGTCAGCTTTGGAGCCGCCATCGCCAGGAGCGTTAATAGGCAGTCGCCTGTGAAATTCTATGGGTGATCGCCGCCAAAGAAAAGGAGAAGTTAATGTGAAAGTATGCGTGAAAATTGGGATGATCTGGGAAGGCGTGCCGAAGATCTGGGTGGTGTGTTCGTTCTTGGTTGGTTGTTTGGAGGGAGTCTGTGAAGTCGACGCGCAAACCATCATCACAGCCTACATACCAAAAAAAAGTCTGGATTGAGAGCCTCATATGGTCCGTGCGTGAGTACGCTCCCTTCGGCAAAACACCGGACTGAATTTGTCACACTAAATTTTGGTGGTGTGTGTGGCACTTTCCAAAGGCGGGCCAAGCAGCCAGTCATTTTACTGAATGGACCATCATGTTTCCTGCTCCCCGTTTCAATGGGAGTCGAGTAGCTGCCTCGATACGAGCTTCTCGTCCCACAAGATTCGACTCGTATGCGACTCGGTTGAACACCTCTTCTCCCGAGTGTTCGCTCAAGACGAAGCAATGATTCGATAACGTCATTGAACCTGAACTTTCTCATCTTGACTCTATCCGCTCGTTTCATTCCTATCTACGACGCTTTTCACGATGCCGCATTCGACAGCGCCCGACTCGTCAGCGCGAGATACGTCGCTCAATCGCTCCTCCAGCTTAAAGGGTCACAGAGAGGCGAACGGAGATGTCAATCATGGCACGGAGAAATTTCCCGACCTCGACCTTGGAAACAATGGACGGTCGGCGAGTCCGCGCAAGCACGATGGCTCTGCCAATGGCGCGGCCTTCCCGGGTGGCAGATGGCAACCACGACGAGATAGTCGAGTAAGATGGGCGCCGAATGAACAATCGCCCTATATCCCCCAGCATAACAGGCAGAGGAGGATTAGCAATGCCATCCGGCATATGAGATCCGGGAGTATGAGCCAGAACGCGCACGAGATTGCAGGCGCACTACGTGCACCGGTCTCGTACAAACTCATTGTACGCCCTGTTGTTCTATAACGTAAAGATGCGTAGTTGCTGATGCGTCGCTGTAGATACTATGCATCATGTGGTACTGGTCCTCGGCGTTGACAAATACGTCTTCCAAGTCGATTCTGACCGCGTTCAACAAACCGGCGACTCTTACCCTCGTCCAGTTTGCATTCGTGTCCTCATTCTGCATGCTCTCCTCCTGGCTGGCGTCCACCTTTCCTAAGATTCGAGCCGCAGTTCCGGCCTTGAGGCACCCTGTTCGGTACCCATCGAAGGATGTCATCGTGACCACGCTACCTCTCGCAGCCTTCCAAATAACTGGGCATCTCCTCAGCTCCAATTCCACCTCAAAGATTCCCGTGTCTCTGGTCCACACTATTAAGGGGCTGTCGCCGCTATTCACCGTCTTCGCCTACCGCTTCATCTTCAATATCCGATATCCAAGGGCTACATATTTCTCGCTCATCCCCTTAACTATTGGTGTGATGCTGGCATGCTCGGGGAGTCATACGTTCCGAGGCGAGTTCTTGGGAATCCTATACGCTCTCCTTGCGACCATTATATTTGTCACCCAGAACATATTCTCGAAACGACTGTTCAATGAAGCGGCCATCGCCGAGGAGCAAGGCTTGGGGGCACAATCTCGCAAGTTGGATAAGCTGAACCTGCTTTGCTATTCCTCGGGACTAGCGTTCCTCATAACCGTCCCGATATGGTTTTGGAGCGAAGGCATCGGTATCATAGGCGACTTCCTGTGGGACGGGTCGGTTGACCTAGCACAGTCGCCTAACTCATTTGACCATGGTCGTTTGACTCTCGAGTTTGTCTTCAACGGGACCTTCCATTTCGGCCAGAACATCCTGGCTTTCATCCTGCTTTCCACGGTGTCCCCCGTCACATACTCGGTGGCAAGTCTCATCAAGCGCGTCTTTGTCATCATCATAGCCATCATCTGGTTCCAGAGTCCAACAACCAACGTCCAAGCCGCCGGTATTGGCTTGACTTTCCTGGGCCTGTACCTCTACGACCGGAGCAACGAGAAGAACAAGGCCGACCAACGGGCTCGGACGATGACCGACACCAAGGGTGAGCGGCCGCTGTTGCCCCTGGATGTCAGGCATGTGAACACCTCCCAGGCCCTCCCGGTATTTGAGAACTCCGTCGCCATGGAGCAGATGTCGCACCCGTACACGAACCCCATCTCATACCCCAACGGCGAGGGCAAGAAGTCGGATGATTTCGGACGCGGCCGGGGAGGGGCAAATCCCAATGCCGCCTGGCTACCACCAGGTACGAAGCAGGAGGAAACCTGGCGCGCAAGCGACAACGTCTCGGCCGCACCTTGATTCTGTATTCTATCTTGTCCACCCCTTTCCCGTTTTTTCCCTCTCCCTTTTCCCTTTCTCTTTACTTGCCATCATGAGGGCGCAGGGGGTTCGCGTGCTGGCAACCAGCAGTTGATATTTTCAAGCATTTGTACGGGCATACATAGCCTCCTGTCATGGAGTCATATGCCGCACCATTCCATTTGGGCATCTTTTTATCAAGAGGGCATAGAGCAGGGACTCGGGAGTGTCACGGGTAGATACGAGGGTAATTGGCGTTCGAAACAGGGTGTCTGTTTTCTTCTTTATCTGTATGAATATTGCACACATGTCATATCATGTACGACATTAGACACCAAAACAGGAATTAGGCTCGATAGACATTAGACAGCCAGAGCCCAGCTCTATATGAACCAGGCTCACAAAGCCTCTTGAAAGTCGCCTTGGAAGTCCCGTTGGTTTAATAATAGGCATCCAGACTAGAGGCGCAAAGCAAACTCAATCGATCAACCACTCCTCAACCTCGACACCCATACTCCTCCCAAGCCCCCTGACCACCTCCCACCCGACATTGACCCTCCACTTCCCCCCGCGGTCCAGCGGATCGCCGCCGACGCCCCCGCCACCGACCCTCACCAGCAGCCTCAGGCTCGCAAGCGTCGCGATCGCCATCCCCACGTCGGCGTCCATGCCGGCCCCGGCTCTCGGCCCATCGGCGGCCCCGGCGGCTCCTCCGGCATCCCACTCGCGCCTCACGGCCGCGAAGACGGCCATCATGCGCTCGAGCACGAAGGCGTGCGCGCCGAGCAGCTTGCGCGCGATCTTGCGGTGCTTGCCCCTCGCGGCGGCGCCGGATCCGCGCCGGCCGGCGCCGCCCCCCGCGACGGAGAGGCCGCCGCGCCGCCGCCGCCGCCCGTGGTGGTGCGTCGAGAAGAGCGTCAGGTCGTGGCGGGCCGCGTTGTGGGAGGCGAGGTAGGCGGCCAGGAGGAGTAGGCGGGCCGTCGTCGGGAGGAGGTTGGAGAGGTCTGGGCCGGCGAGGGAGGGCGCGGCGGTCGGGTTGCTTGGGCCTGGGCGCGGCGCCCGGGCGGGACTCGGTGCGGCGCTGGTAACGGCGGAGGGGGGCTGGCGGTTTGGGAAGCTGTGGGAGGGGGCGGCGGCAACGATGCCTGGGTCGAGGAGGGTCTCGTCTTGGAAGTGTACCCGAGCTGCAACTATAAGCTTGGAGAACTCGCGCGGGCCGTGAGTGCCTGCGAGGATGGGCGCCGTGAACCGCGGCCAGAGGGCATGGCAGGCGTGGCGGAATGCGGGGAGGGTGCGTACGGCCGCCCGGGCTAGGGTGTCGTGGACGGCCGAGGTAAAGCGAGCCCAGAGCTCCGTCGTTTCTTCTTTGGTGGTGTTGGCCAATGTCGGAGGCGGGCTGAGGGAGAGAATCGCAACGAATTCGGACTTGGTATAGTTCGGGAAGTGGATGTGCGGCACAAAGGATGTATGTAGAAGACCAGCAGGCGGGCAAGTCACAATAAACACGGTGGTGAGACTCGGAATCTGGAGGGGCCAATTGGTTAGTACCTCGTGCTATCTGGTAGTGAGTAGGTTTCCAAGAATTCTTACTATCTCGGAAAGCCTCGCGAGGGCTGGTAGGAGAGTCGGGGGAGCTTCGCGCTGGCGATCAATGGCATCCAGGACGAGGACGAAACGCAAGCCATCCGGCTGGTCAGGAGACAGTAGCATCTTAGACAGTTCAACTGTCAACCGTGACATATTTTCACATCGTGTCGGCCTGTTGTCCCAGTCCAATGCGTCTGCCACCTTGCCAATGGTTCTTTCGAAGAGATGCCTGCCGGTGATACATTCTATCGAGTTGACTATCGCGTATTTCAGCTTGCCCGTCTGCGAGCTCTCGGTAACCTCGGCGAGTTTCTCGAGCAAGGATTCAATGATAGCGCTCTTCCCCGTAGACTCGGTGCCGTGGATGACGAGATTCCGGCATGGTGCTGCATTTGGCTGCTACTTGTTAGCGTCAGTCGCACGACTTATGTCCAATGCAGTCAAGCTCACGAATAACAAGGTCGCCAGAGCGTTGATCTGTAAATCACGACAAGGGAACGAGTGAACAAGAGTAGCAAGGACCAGTTCATCAGGGAGCTGGAATAGGGAATCCATCTTGCGAAAGGGAACAACCACACCACGTCCACACCTCGAGCGCGGATACTGGGTGAAGGCGCGTATCAGCGCCAATGCAAATGGGTTCCGATTTGATGAGATGGCGCGTCTTGCTAATTATGCATACGTAGCTAGGCACGTGTGAGGTAGGTCCCTATACATAAAAAGTGGAGAACTGCAATATGGGCGCCTGGCGATTGGGCATGGGCATTGTAAGGCCTGGTTAGCTTCGACAAAGCGTGAAGTTCAGACAAATAGCATGTCGCTGACTCGTCTCTGCTTACGTGTATCTATCACCTTGCGTCGTGATGTTGTATCGGCCCCTGGAACTGACTGATCACTTCGCTCTTCGGTCGAAAAGGCATTGCATATCGCTCCATAACTTCAAACTTCAAAACTGCTCTAATAGGAAGCGTGGCTCAGGGGTTGCGAGTCCGCTATATGTCCCTTTCAGAGCTGCGCGATGCATTCGTGCGGTGCGCCCATCACAAGGTCTTCATCGGTTGTTGAATCATAGGGTCTTGGCGAAATGGAGTCGGGCTCCCCTGAGGAAACTGAGGCGGCCCAGCCTCGGTCTGAGAAGCAATTTCACCCCAAGCGCCCTCACCGAAAGTCGCGGGCGGGATGCCGAAACTGCAAGACGAGAAAGGTGAAGTGTAACGAAGCCCATCCGGCTTGCCGCGCTTGTACCCTAAGGAGAGAGCAATGCGTCTATCCCAATTCTCCATCGCCCCGGGGATCGCCCTCCTCCAGAGCCCTGAGTATTTCCCGGAGACGGTCTCCCTCGCCGGATTATGCCGGCGACTACTCGGGCCTGCGCCTTCTGGATGAGCCCCTCTTCACATCCGCGGATAAGGATGCTACCGACATGAAGCTCCTGTGGTTCTACACAACCCAAACCTACGAATCCTTCTCGGCCTCCGGAGGCGCCATGGCTGTTGACGAGATCCTGAAAGTCGATATTGTTCAGCATGCCTTCCAAGTTCCATTTCTGATGAACACCATCTTGGGCCTGTCAGCCATGCATCTAAATCACTTGAAGCAGGAAGTCTCACCGACTAGAGCAATAGCCTACAGGGCAAGAGCCTTCGAAGGCTATCGAAAGGCCATCGAGGCAGCGAGACCAGAGACATTCCCCGCCTTGCTCGCATGCTCTCTCTTCCTCTGCGCCCTCTCCACCGATCCATTCAGGAGTGAGGATGCCAAGCCCCTGTACGTCCTTGATTGGATGATTATCTGGAAAGGAATAGGCCTGATCATCACCATGATCCAGGAGAAGGCCCTATTCGAGTCCGGCATGGCAACCCTCTTTTTCAGGCCGCTGATAGACTTAAACTCATCGGCCAAGCATATCCCAAGCAACTTACTTTTTATGGTGACGTCCATCCAGGAAGGCGATGTCGATTTTGGCTCCAAACCGGCCTATTACCACACCTTGAAGTTTCTCGGATCATTATATGCGGAGCTTGCGCGAGGGTTCAGCGTCACGCTGATCTTGCGCGTCGTCACCTTCTTTACTTTCTTGAGAAAAGAATTCTTCGACTTGGCGCGGCAACGGCGGCCTCGAGCCCTCGTCATCATCGCGCACTTCCTTACATTTGCTAAGACAACCAGCGGCATCTGGTGGATGGAGGGCATAAGCGACAGAGAAATATGTAACATCTACAATCTGCTGGGCAAGGAGTGGGAGTCGCTGCTCCGAGTTCCCAGGATGGCGGTTCACCTCACCGACAGGACCGAGATCGGAAAGCTCCTGTTGGATAACCATGCCTGGGAGCCTCCGTCGGACCTGGGCGGAGAGGCTGAACGTCCAACGACCAAGGAGTTGGCGTGGACCGACAATGAGGGCAAGCCAGTCCAGCTTGTAGGGGAAATGATCTACAAACTCCCCTTGAGGGACCGGCAGAGACTGGGCGGTCTGCTCCAAAACTACGAGCAACAGACGATCGTGGGGCAGGAGGCTCTCGTGGGGCAGGAGGCTCTCGTGGGGCAGGAGCGTCTGGATAGAGAAGAGAGGGTCCCTATGGAAGTGGTTTTAACTTCCCTCTATCAGGGCCAAAGCCCGGACACAACGACGACGAGTACGCCTTCGATCGATGGTTATGGCTCTTGATATCTTTTACGCAGAAACAGCAAAAAGGTATTGGCATGGCTTGGCCGATCCTCCGTTGCAGGATATCATGCTCCCCAGACGGTTCGTTGTATCGGTGGTAAGTACTTTATTCTCAGCCTCGAATCCCATTTTATCGTAATTCTGACCACCTTCCTAGATTACCGTGATATCAAAAGGTTTGAGCGGGTTTGATACTTGGAATATATGACATATTCGGCAGCGGATATGGGGATCTTTGTCGGCGTTGTGTTGGGTTAGCGTTGTGTCGTTGGAAGGAGTGATCTTTCATGATTGTTGATAACGTAGAAATACCCGTCGCCTGGTCTGTTCATCTTTTGGGAACACGGTTTTTGCTTTGAATAGTTACTCGCTTGCACACATACACTGTGGCATATACCCAGCTTACTGTCCTCGTGGGCTACCATTCCTATTTCCTGAAGAGCAACTTTGTGGGAATACGTAACGGCGGTATATAAAACCAGGTTGGGCATGAGAAAACGGCATAAGATAGGGGTCTTCACAGACTCGGCTTTCGCGAAACTTGTACCTATAACTCCCCTTTTCACAACTATCAAAACTCTATTCCCTCCCAGCCAGTAGTCCGAGGAAACCCCTTCCCTGTCCCCAACAAATCCCCTCCCACCCACCACCAATATACAGCCCAAACCACCCCTCGCTCGCCGTCAGGTTGGCCGGGACGCTGTGGCCCACGCCGGTGGTGTAGATGACATGACGTTGTCGCTGTAGTCGTCGGTCTGGCAGATGTGCTGCGGGTGGTTTTTCCTTGACGTGGTCGGCGTCTGCGAGCACCTTGAACACGTCCGTCCGTCTACATGCTTGATCGTCTTCTGGTAGTTTGCGGGCGCCAGTGTGCTGTCCGCGCTGCCGTGCCAGATCTGCATCCGCGGCCGCGGGCCGTCGTAGCCTGGGTACATGTTGCGGACTACGTTGCCCCAGCTGTGAAATGGGCGAGCTCGGGAGAGTTTGTAGCCATGACATTGGACATCATCACTGCATGGGCCCATTGGCACACGTCTAACCTCTATAATTTTCCAATCCCTCCAGGGCCTTGAAGAGCATGTTCGTAGACGACGCGAGGGTATTTTATTTTGTGCAAGATCTAAGTCAGGAGCTATACACAGGCCAAGTATGAATGGGGAATGACTCCAACTAAAGTCTATCACCCTTGAGCCTTAGGAACATGGACTTTCATGTAGGAACCGGCAACCTAGAACGCCCCCCTTAAGAACACTAAAGATTTCTTCGCACAGAAGTTGGATGCCCATCGTAGGGTCCAATTCATCTCCTCTGAACTGCCGTTAGGACGAGTCCTGAAGCATATCGATCGCGGGGTGGGCGAGGGGGGATTTTATGGCTGGTAGTTTTCGTCACGGCTAAAGCACCAGTGCTTCCCACGTATAAACATTGAACGGGCCTGTGAGCCCGATTGGCCAGAATCGTCGATGTTTGATGACGGGAGTCTTTCTGGGGAAAATATGAGCGGCTCGTTCCTGTGGCTGGTGCACTGCAGAGCCGCCGGCACGATCCGGGGAGGTATGGAGTTCGATTGGTTGGCGGTTCACCTTGTGCCTCCATAAGACGGATATTGTTCTGATGCGCGAGGAACATGTAAGGGGCTTACCGCGCAAATAAGAATTCACAACCTGCCCTATGCCGGGTTGACTGAGATCTGACGCCAACCCAAACAGTCGGAGCAAATATCAAACCTAGATAGACATTCACACAAACACCTACTGGGGAGCGGCAACTGGGATTTGCAAGAGGAAATAGCTTTGAATTCTTTGGTACACAGCTCACAAAAGAGACTTGATAGAGCCAAGAGCCTCCCCCCGGAACCTCTTTCCCTCTTCTATACAGTCGACGGACCGCCTCCGGCCAAGAGCAACTTGTTCTATGCGCATATTAAGCGTTCTGCTCGAGCTCAGCCATGATCTTCTCTCCCTTCTGCCGTGCTGAAGCAAAGTCGCCAACCATGTAGAAGGCACCCTCGGGCAGGCTGTCACCCTCGCCGCTCAGGATGGCCTTGAAGGAGGCGATGGTGTCCTTGAGGTCGACAAGGGTACCCTCGATACCAGTGAAGACCTGAGCAACAGTGAAGGGCTGGCTCAGGAAACGCTGGATCTTACGGGCACGCTCGACAGTCAGCTTGTCGGCTTCTGAGAGTTCGTCCATACCCAGAATGGCAATGATATCTTGCAGCGACTTGTACTCCTGGAGGATCTGTTGGACACGGGTGGCGGTATCGTAGTGGTCCTGGCCGACAATACGGGGGTCCAGCATGCGAGACTTGGAGTCCAGAGGGTCGACGGCAGGGTAGATACCCAGCTCGGAGATACCACGGGACAAGACAGTGGTGGCGTCCAAGTGAGCGAAGGTGGTGGCGGGCGCAGGATCAGTCAAATCGTCAGCAGGCACGTAGACGGCCTGGACCGAGGTAATTGATCCCTTCTTGGTGGTGGTGATACGCTCCTGCATACCACCCATGTCGACGGCGAGGGTGGGTTGATAACCGACGGCAGATGGGATACGACCGAGCAGGGCAGACACCTCAGAACCAGCTTGGGTGAAACGGAAGATGTTGTCGATGAAGAGGAGCACTGGAGAGAGAGGGTCAATATCAAGTCTCGGAAGGAATTGCAAGGCTGACGAAGCACGTACCGTCCTGGCCCTCCTCGTCACGGAAGTACTCGGCAACAGTCAGACCAGTAAGGGCGACACGGGCACGGGCTCCGGGGGGCTCGTTCATCTGACCGAAGACAAGCGCGACCTTGGACTCGCCGTCAAGCTGAATGACGGAGGTCTCCTGCATTTCGTGGTACAGATCGTTACCCTCACGGGTACGCTCGCCGACACCGGTGAAGACTGAGTAACCACCGTGCGCCTTGGCGATGTTGTTGATGAGCTCCTGGATGAAGACGGTCTTGCCGACACCGGCACCTCCGAAGAGACCGATCTTTCCACCACGAGCGTAAGGGGCGAGGAGGTCGACGACCTTGATACCGGTCACCAGAATCTCTCCTTCCGTCGCCTGCTCGATGAATGCGGGGGCTTCGGCGTGGATGGGGCGGAACTGCTCAGTCTTGATGGGGCCCCGCTCGTCGATGGGGTCACCTGTTACGTTCATGATACGCCCAAGTGTGCCATGTCCGACGGGAATAGTGATGGGGGCGCCAGTGTCGACGACCTTGGCGCCTCGGACGAGACCTTCGGTACCATCCATGGCAATGCATCGCACGACGTGCTCGCCGAGATGTTGCTATGACCATGTCAGTCTCGGACTGTATGCTATTAACTAACTTTTGTGATGCCAACATACCGCGACTTCCAAAACGAGCTTCTGGCCATTGTTCTCGGTTGTGAGGGCGTTCAGGATAGCGGGCAGCTTGTCAGTGTCAAACTTGACTGTGACAACAAGTCAGTAGGGGACTAAAGAGGGCGTGTCGACAATGCGTACCGTCGCAGACTGCACCGATGACCTGTGTATAACTTGTTAGCCTACTGAAATAATTTGCCGAGATGGGGGGATTTGCGGTTGGAGGAGAATCCGGATGAAGTGGACGACAGACGACGTCCTCGGGCATTCTTACCTGGTAAATCCGTCCATCAGTAGCACCGGCAGTGCTGGCGAATCTGCTCAGCAGCGGGCTTTTGATGTTGAGGCTGGCAGGGCGGATGGCCCGACGGCTCGCCGCCGCGGCCGAGAGGGAACAGCGTGCTGTCCTGGCAAAGCTGCTGTCGGACGAGAGGAAGGTCAATTGGTCAGCTCAATTGATCTCAATTGGGGGTCAAGGTGATTAAAATGTTGATTAATGGGTGTATACTAACCTCTTGAACATCCTGACAGATGATTAAGACGGGTACTGGAGGAGAGGAGAGGAGGTTGCGGTCTTCGGGAGAAGGTAGAGGTTTGCTGAAAACGAGTTATTTCTCGGGACTGGAGCTTTCTGGCTAGCCGAGAAGTCACGTGGAAGAGATTGTCAACAATCTGAAGAACCCGCAAATCCCCGGGCTTATTTGCCAATGATTCTCCGGCTTGGCAAGAATTTTTCTCCTGGCGCCCCCCCCCTTCAGCCAGGTTATTAATTGACATGGAACCAGATACCGATACCTGAATACCTATCCATCACAACTGCCAGCTGGGCCTCATATTATGTGTATTACGAAGTTCATTCTGCCCAATAGTCTATGAAATAAAATGAAAGAAACCCGTACAATACTCAGATCTCGTGCCTTTTTCTCCCTCCCCTGGTCCAGATCCTGGATGCGGACGGTGCCAAGTTATAAAGCCTGGGATATCGTAGACTCGAGCGCAAGCACCTGTCTCTATGTCAGCATTCATGCTCCAATTTCCAGATCAAGCGGTAAGAAAGAGAACTCACAATGGCAGTCCGTGAAGGGATGTAGAGGTGTGTCCAGTTTGGTCTTCCGTTCCACTCCATCGGCGTTGTGAAGAAACGTGTGTTCTCGTCGAGCCGGTTGAATCCTCCATGGTCCTTGGTGTCAGAGTTCAGGACGATCCTGTACGTACCAGGCACCTCGATGCCGATTCGGTAGTCAGTGTAGCTTTCGGTGGTGTGGAAGTTGAAGACGAAAACGAGGCCACCTCGCTCGAACACGATGACCTTGTCGCCCCCATGCTTGAGCGAGATAAAAGCCTGGGGTGCGTGAAGCCATCCGTATTTTCCCTCGGTCAGGTTCATGGACCGGTCGAAGTTGTTGAGGTATTGATATCTCAGGAGATGATCCTCAGTGAGGTTGAGCTGCCGTCGAGCATACCAGAAGGAATTCTGGTTGCCCTCACGAGGGAAGTCAAGCCATTCAGGATGGCCAAACTCATTACCTTCAAAGTTGAGGTAGCCCTCACCGCCCAGGCCATGGGTCAGGAGGCGGATCAACTTGTGCAGCGCCATTCCTCGGTCAATGACGGGAGTCAATGGCGTCATAATCGACATGTTGGTATAGAGCTCCGCGTCGCAGAGATGCATCATCAAGGTCTTGTCTCCCACAAGGCTGATGCCGGGTTAGCAGTGGGGAAATGTGTGTGACCGGGGCAAACCTACGCTTGGTCGTGGCTTTCGCAGTATGCGATCGTCTTCTCTCCGTGCCGACGGTTGGTCAATGTCCAGCATATGTTGCTGAAATCCCAGTCTTCGTCCTTCTGCTCCTTCAAAAGCTTGATCCACATGTCAGGAATTGCCATGGCGAGTCTGTAGTCAAATCCAACACCACCAAGCGAGAGCGGTAGGCACAACGCCGGCATACCCGAAACGTCTTCTGCAATGGTAATGCATTCCGGATACAGATCGTGGAGCAACTCATTCGCGAGCATGAGGTACACGACGGCTTCCTCGTCGACTCCAGCCCCGAAGTACTCGTGATAGCCACCGGAAAAGCCACTGCCATCTATTAGTCGTAAATCTGATGTCAGAGGGGCAGCTGGTAGACTTACGTGCCAATACCGTGATGGGTGTACAGCATGCTGGTGACGCCGTCGAATCTGAATCCGTCAAACTGGAACTCGTCCATCCAGAACCGGAGGTTGCTGAGGAGGAAACGCATGACCTCGTGGTGGCCGTAGTTGAAAATCCTGCTGTCCCATAGCTCATGACGACCCTTGGCACCCTCGTGGAAGTACTGGTGATCCGTGCCGTCGAACTGGTTGAGTCCGTCGAGTACGTTTTTCGAAGCATGGCTGTGGATGACGTCCAGAAGCACTACGAGTCCCATGCCGTGGGCCGTGTCGATCAACTCCTTCAGATCTTCAGGGGTGCCGTAACGGCTGCTCGCGGCGAAGAAGTTGTTCACTTGGTAGCCAAAGCTGGCATAGTAGGCATGTTCCATGATGGCCATGAGCTGGATGACATTGTATCCCAAGGACTTGATCCGAGGAAGCATGTTCTTGGTGAACTCCTTGTACGAAGCCACCTTGAGTTCGGGAGAGGATATGCCGACGTGGGCTTCGTAGACTCGGACGCTCTCTGGCTTCTTCGGCCGCTGGTTCTTAAAGACATACCTCTCGCTCGATGGTGGGTTCCAGAATCTCGCGTCGTAGGCAGGAGAAACGGAGAGATCCTGGGTCACGTATTTGATCCAGGCGGGCAATCTGTCAACCCATTCCCCACTGGGTAGCTCCAAGGAAATCTGGAGCAGTCAGTTAGTCTGGGAGCAGCAGAGGACTTGCTGTAGGGATATACCTTGATCATGGAGTTGTGGGGGATGGCCGCTTGGCCGTTGGCGCCGGCAGGAATGACAATCTCGAAGACGCCGAACTCATTCTTCTTCATGGGATTTGATTCCCGGTTCCAATTGTCTGCGCGATTGTTAGTCAGGGGAGGAGAATGGTGCGGCTAAACTTTGTCATGGACCACTCACTGAAATCCCCAATGAGGGAAGCCTTGACAGCGTTCGGAGCCCATTCTCTGTAGACAATGTTGTTATCATTGTCCACATTGAATCCAAATGTCTCTCCGCCCTGCACGATGAGTTCTGTTAGACACGAGACGAGGTTGATGAGAGAGAAGTGTTGGCAGTGACGTCACCTTGGAGAACTTGTCCAGGCCGCCTTCCGTCTTATTCAGGGTATCAATCCATGTATGGGCTTTGGCATAACGCCGTTTCAGGGCGTCCTGGAATGGTGCCAGCCAGGGGTCGAGCTTGACGACTCCTGTTGGGCTTGTTAGTTTGAATTTGACGGATGAAGTGCTGCTGCTAGCGAGTCAATCGCACCGGTGCCATCCTTGGGGATATCACTGTCGGCCACCTGCCCCTCACTCGCAATAGTATTGGAGGACTTCTCAACGATAGACTTCTCAACAGCGTCTGCCATTGTAGAGAACCAAGTAATTCGACTGTATCCAGAGGATGGTGCGATGGTTGTCGAGCTGTTGGTACTAAACGGTGGAAGCTCAAAGCTTGGAGCTATATACTCCAAATTATCGTTAAGACGATAGCTTTATCTCTCAATTATTTATCCCTCGTAATAGAACTCAACGGAAAACTGTAGGTGAGACCAATGGCCAATGGAACAAGCGAGAGTGGACAGTAGTTTCCTCGAACAGCATGTGAGGGATAACAAGGGTGTTGATAATATCTTTCTGCAATTCAAATTATCTCTCCCAGTTCTATACGAAAGGTTCTGGTGCATTACATCATCGAGGGTGTGAAAAACGAGAATAGGGGACCAATGTTCAACAAGAATTTATCGTCCTGCAGCTCAACCCCAGGCCAATGAAGCAGTACCTATGTGTCTTGTCTTCCTCAAACGGGATGGATGTCAACAAATTCCCCGTTACTGACATAAGTATCTCGCCACTAGCTCGGGGTAGATTGCAAGTCAGCATTCCAACAGTCCGAGGAGCAGTCTACGCTGAAGGGGTTCGTCCCATAAGAGGTCTGGCCTTGAGGAATACCGACCTAGGCTTGAAAGAGTACGAGTTCGAAATGAGTCACCCAAAATACCTACCATGCACTGCCAATATACCTAGGTACTTTAGGACGGCTGAAGGGGCACGGTCGCATGGCAGAAGTTACACTATCCCGAGCGGCGGCGGGGCATTTGAGCTGACCTCATTGTGGCCATACCCACCCACCCCCCCCAAGCTTCGCGTTGCAACGCTCGACAGCGACATTAATGTGGCCCGACTGTGTCCATGCCGGACTAGGTATTTCCTCCTAGCTATCTGCCCCGGCATGACTCCATCCCCTACATCAAGATGTTGGTCCTAGCAAGACCACGCTCTGCGACTGTTGCAGCGATACGTCGACCCCCGCCCGTCATCGCTTTACGCCATCGGCTCCGGCACCGGCACCGGGCATTCTCGACGTCTCTCAACATCTCTAATTCTCATAGACGATCGCAGGATTTCAACTCGGGCTTTACCAGCAGCTATGACCCAGGGCAGGACTCTGGGCGGGGGCCTATGTTTAGTAAGGCGAGCTTCGGTGTCCCCCAATTTTATCCTCGCGACCTCAAGCAACGAGTCGACGAGTACGTCGTCGGCCAGGATCGCGCCAAGAAAACAATCTGCTCTGTCATCTTCAACCACTATCAAGGCCTCCGGCGCCGACAGCATTACGAGATACAAGACCAGCACCTCCGGGAGAAGCTGGAGCGCCAGCAGTTCTCAAGAGACCGGGACCTACATGAGAGAACGGGCTACCATGACGGCCACATGCACCCTGTTGAGGACGAGTTTCCTGGCCACCATGACTCTGTCAGGTCGATAAACTCGGGTCGCATGGAGCCCGCCGATAACTTCTACCCGCCCGAGGACACCACTATACCGCAGCATGTGAAGATAGACAAGAGCAACTTGCTGCTTCTAGGACCGACTGGTGTTGGCAAGACATACATCCTCGAGTAAGCAGACGTCCCAGGCTGTCGTCTTGTACGCACATCCTAACTTCCGGACAGAACCCTAAGCAAGAAAATCAACGTTCCCTTTACGATTAGCGACTGCAACTCCTTCACGCAAGCCGGCTATATCGGCCAGGACGTCGAGGCTTGTATCGAACGCCTCTTCGTCGAGTCCAACTATGACACCAAGGCGACAGAACATGGAATCGTGGTACTGGACGAGTTTGACAAGATCGCGAGGAGGGAAACCGTCAATGGCAGGGACGTTAGCGGCGAGGGCGTCCAGCAAGCTCTCCTCAAGCTTGTTGAAGGCACAAAAGTCACGATCAACGTCAAGGAGAATCGGTCGTCCCGCTCTGCGACCCCTATAACAAGCAACTACGGCTCCGGGCCTAGTGCAGGTCAGCCCGGCGCCCCTGCGGGCAAGGTTGATCATCAGTACACCATCGACACGACTAACATCCTCTTCGTCTTCTGTGGTGCATTTGTGGGATTGGACAAGGTCGTTCTCAAGCGAGTCTCGAAACCAACTATGGGCTTCGGATCCGAGCTGCGAGGTGGGCGGACATCCTCCTTATCTGGCAGCAAGGATGTCCTACCGCCGGAGATGTACTCACATCTTCCCCACCGACCTGCCTTATTACAGGGTCTACACACAGACCAGTCCAGCGGCGCGTTCACGCCGCTGGATTTGACCACGCCGGCCGATCTCCAGGCCTTTGGATTCATCCCGGAGCTAATCGGGCGACTCCACAACATCTGCGCCCTCACGCCGCTCTCCCTGGACGAGCTCTACCGCATCCTCACGGAGCCCCGGAACAGCCTCGTTGCGCAGTACACGGCGCTCTTCGAGACCTACCCCAGCAGGCTGCTCTTCACGCGGCGCGCCCTCTACGCCATCGCCGAGCGGGCGGCCAAGAACGAGACGGGCGCGCGCGGCCTGAAGATGGAGATGGAGCGCGTGCTCGCCGAGCCCATCTTCAACTCGCCCACGCCCTACGTGCTCGTCACCGAGGGCTGCGTCAGGGGCACCGAGAAGGCCGGCTACTGGGGCAAGGACGGCCGGCTCGAGGTCGAGAGGCGGATGCAGGAGGAGGACGCGAGGGACGGCGGCCGGCCCGCGGCGGCGGCGGAGACGACGACGACGACGACGTTTGAGCAGTTCCGGGAGGCTGGGCAGAGCGGCGCTTGAGCTTAACATGGTGTCGATTTTTTTCGGGGGGAATCGGGCATCGTGGCATCGTTGCATATTTGTTTCTTTATTTTTCCTCCTTTTGTGGGCGTCGGGTGACGATGGGTTGGAGTATTCATTGATGCATGCTCGGTTTCAGACAATGTTCAGAGCATAGGTATTCCAAGGTCTCATCTTCGGCATGGCATGCTTGTGGGGAGTGACTTTGTCAAATATTAGGATATGACGAGGTGTTACCTAAACATGGAACTCACCATTGCTTTTGTGGACTCGATGTGGACTCGAGGGCAAGCTTCAAACCTCACCGGTGTAAAGTGTCACACATGGCACAATAACAGCCCACGAGTCATGGATGGCAGGTCGTACCGCAGGCCCAAGACAATGGGGGCGCAGGGGAATCAAAGAAAGCTGTGTCGCATTGTCGAGGTTGTACAAATTTACACCAACCAAAGTCAGATCTCTCCCCCTTCTCCCTCCTTCCCAAAAAGAAATGACCCCCAATGTTTTCACAATCTTCCCCCCCCTCCTCTAGTACGCTTTTACACACAGGCTAGGCAGTATGGCCACGGCGAGTGATACGAGTTTGGCGGATAGCTCTATCGACAAAGGGAAACGGCTTGGCGGGAAAACGGGTGGAGGAAATTATGCCGATTTCGGGGGGGACTGAACCATGCCCTTGCCGGTGTAGCCTTCGGAAGCGACGCCGGTGAAGGGATCGGCCTTTTGGGACTGTGAGGGTGGAAAGCGGGTTAGCAAATTGATATCACGAGATTTGAAAACGAAGGGGAGGTAGGGGAGCCGCCCGACGGGGGCATTCGGGGTCTTACTTTGAGGTATTCATTGGAAGCCTCTTGCCATTCCTTGGTCATGGTGTGAGGAGCTGGGCCGGCGAACATCCGGATGGCAACGAAGAAGGCCAAGCTGACGCCGACGCCGACGGCGGTGTAAAGGGCGACCTTCTTGCCCTCGCCAGGGGGAGGAAGAGCTCGCGGACCGTGGGGGCCAAAGGCAATCCAGTATGCTGTAATTGAGACGAGTCGTGGTTAGTTGTGCTGTTTGATCACGCTTGCATGTGTGGAGCCAATCGAGAAAGGGGGACACTGAAGCTCTCCAGCCGGCAATTGACAGCATCAAAAGACGAGGATGGTTCGAGTACACGGCCGATATGGGTTCAATTGCAAGTGGAAAGCAACAAGGTGGGCATCCGCGGAGATGCAATTGCCTCGGAAAACTCACCAGCTCTCTTCTCGTGGAGGGTCAGCTCGGCCCAGTTCTCCTTCATGCGATCCCGCAGAGACATCCAGAGATCGGCCTGCTCCTGTAGAGGCATGCCCTCCCACCTCTTCTCGATGTTCGCCAGGGTCGGCTTGGAGATGGCGTGCGTCGAGGCGGCGCGGCAGACGGTCAGGCTTGAGGATCGGCTGCTGGCCCGCGCGAGCGAGCTGCGCAGCAGACTGGTGGCCGGGGTGCGCAGCATTGTGATTTCCTGCTTCGACAATCGAATATGCGGAGTGGAGATGGGATCAATTGGGAGCTTGCCGCTCGTGTACAGGGCGTTGCTCGTCGTGGATGTGTGGTGGTCGTGGTGGGATGCGCGTGGAAATTCGACCGTCGTTGAAGAGGGTTTTTCTCGTCATACGATTGAGCCTTCGAATCCCGGGCACCAGGCCGGAAGCTCCCTCCTCCCGGCTGCTACCCGAGCATAATTCACGTGAATGGCCACGTGATCAATATATCAGAAATCAGCAACCTGGGATTGGCTCTCTACGTTTCTGCATGACATCCCATCGCGACTGGTCTTTATTGAGCTTCGTCGAATTAGTTGTGTTATTTGATCTATGTCTACATAAATACAGTGGTAGGTACATTTCCAGGAGCTGGCCGGGATAGAGGTAGAAGTCGAGGGTCCGGAATTCCAACCGTCAGCAAGTCATAAAGAGGAATATGGCATAGTCTATTCCGAGACAGAGTAACGGATGACGGTTTCCACAGTTCTTGCTAATTGCTGGTTTCTTTTGGCCTCCCAGGAGAGTTGGTAGACATTGATGGTGATGCAGGCGAGTTTGAGTTTTCGCTGGACAGATTCACCGCTCCCTGCTCCGGTGGCTGTTGCGAGGGCAATCCGGATGCACTACGAGAGCGTAAGCAGCCATTGAGTCAGTTCTGGGCGTGAAAGACCGATTACCTGTGAATATCTGTATGCTTCCGGTCGTGTTGCTCCTCCAGGCTTGGTTTGAACGCATAATAGCCTGGTTGAACAGTCAAGACATTGTTCAGTAGATATATAGAGGCAAACTAACCGTTGCCTATCCCGAGCCCGATGGCCAGGGCCAGGGGAATGTATTTGCGAGCACTCATCCCCGAATGGTGCTAGCACACATTGTCCTCTAGTCTTCTGAGTTTGATTCTTCGTATCGTTTGACAATACGATGGCTGGGACTTGAGAATGATCCAGTCAATTGGGACAACCCACCCCACCATGCAAGCTTGGGCCAATCACCAATCACGCAGGATTATAATCCGTACTGTATGCGGGCACTTCAAGCTGCGCGTCTTCCTTCAAGCCGACGCGTTCCACACATTTATCGTGTCTCCCAGGACCCAGAACACGGATCGAACAAATGGCCGCACCGCGCTCTGAACAGCCGTATCTACGATGAATCTTTGGCATCATGAGAAATTGGAAGGAGCTGGGAGAGGTTCCAGATTCGGAAGACGAGAGCCTCGATAGCCTTGAGCCCCAACAGGACGAACATGCCGACTTCGAAACGGAACATGAAAGGCTACCCAACGAACTTCCGAAAGCTCCCGCAATCGAAGATGTATGGAGAATACCATCTTCTCCCCAGAGGCAAGACCATGGATTTCTCCCACCTGACGACGCTGGGACTACAAGCCCAGCACCGCAAAGATCGGTTACTCCGGCTTCGTCGCCCCTTTCCTCCCTGTCCCCAGAAGAAGAGGACCACCAAGAACAGTCAGGGCACAGAGAGTCTTCATTGGAGCAAGGCATCGTCGACCAAAATCCTCGGACACCCACCGACGATAACCCCAGAAACGAGCCATCTTCGCTGGGCGACGACGAAGTATCTAGACCTTATGTCAGGATAACAGCTGCCTCTTCAGCGGACGAGCTGGCACCTGGTCAAGCGGCAGCACTTATAAGGTCTCTATCGCCCAGATGCTCTCCCGGTGAAGTCAACAGGCAGGTATCAGCCGGCGATGGCGTGGTGGAAGGTGTAGGTGTATCCACTCAAGGTGCTGTGCAAAGGGAGCGGTCTCTACGGCCGCGCAAACCGATCCAGCAATTTCCCTATCTTCTCGAGAACGCGCAGTACGCCAACTTCATGAAGTCCCATGGTGTGAGACCGCTCAGGGTTTCTATTGAGCGAGCCATCCCAAGGACAAGGACAGAGGAGGATTCTCAGGAGCAAGAATTTGAGGCCAGCGCCAGTCAGGAGCTTGCAGCGGACGGTACTAGTGGTGGGATAGATGAAAGTCAACCACTCCTCTTCGACGATGCTACTGATGATCGCGATATCTTGGCCCTTTCGTCGTCCCCGCCGAGTTCATCATCTCCTCGAACCCATCTCCACACGAGCAGCCAACAGGCAAACGGGGATCAAACAGACAACTCAAGCATTGTGGAGGAAGACTTTCCGTCACTCGATGATCTTGCGCGCAAACCAGCGAAGACTCCAGCGAGGAATTCAAAGCGATACCACTCATCGAATCTGTTATCGAGCCGGAAAAGGTTCAAGCCTCAACTCGCATCTTCCGCGCTCCCTTCGCCGCTCTCAAGGCTATCAAGGTCCGATATCTGGGACATGTCTTCACTGTCTCCCGAGCCGAGAGCAATGCCTGAGCCGTCACAGGATTTGGGAATTACCCCACGTTTACCTCCCCCGCGTCGACCTGAGCGCCCATCCGATACCGCGTCGGATAGAAGTCGGTCCCTGGAAAGAAACACACCGTCTGATATCGTTGATCTCACTGGGAAGGACGGGAGCGAGAGTTCCAGCGACTCTGAGACGGGTTCTTCGAGCAGTGACTCAAATATCGGAGCCGACCTTGTTCGACGGAATAAGAGGAGAATACGCGGCGTCCTGCCGGCCTCTTGGCTAAGACTGGATCGACAGAGGGGCCGTGATGCAGCACGAAAAAACAGGAGAAGCCGTGATCCATCTCCGGACCCCGGCCCTAGACGCGGAGTGGCAGTACCCAAGCTATCAACCCCGAAACCCTCAACTACCGCTCCTTTTTTATTTGATGATTCTGATGACGACAATGACGATAATGAACTTGTTACGAAACCTATAGAAGAGCACGAGGTTAGACCACCCTCAGCCCTAGACATGCTCTTCGACGATGCCGGCGATGACTCTGTTGTGGAGGAGGATCACATTGACAGGATGCTTTCTGGGGCCAAGCGGAGCGGTACATCTTCAGGTTTGCCGCCGTTCAAGAAACGGAAGACGACACAGAAGTCTGTCTCCACAGGATTGCAAGTCCAGAAGACACGGCAGCCAAGGATTACTCAGGCACTAAGCCGATCACATACTACAACTCGGGGAACCCATGGGACCATAGAACCCGCCACCAACCCTGTCGGGCGGCCCCATCAACGATCACACAAGCGACGCCTCCCGAAGCGGGCGCCAACACCCCCTCTGTTAAGCATACTGGATGTCGTGGAACCAGAAGCCCCTCGGTTTATCAGGGTTGCGGCCCGGACCGCCAGAACACAGAGGAACCAGGGGAAATCCAGCCCCTCTCGGAAGCACATCGACCTTGGGACTCGCAGAGATAATGTGGACGCACGCTCGGTACTTCATGACTGGAGAGCTGGCAAAATTCGACCCAAGATCCCTAATTCGGTTGTCAATGCGGATGGCCAGGCAAGGCGGCATGTCCTAGGAGATCTTTCTGTCAACTCTGCAACTCCTAGCTCAACGCTTAGAGAATCTGCACATCCAAAGCCGGTTGGGCTGGCAAAACACGGCCATATTCTAGGACATGTCGTTGCCGATGGCGTTGGTATCCGGGACAAATCGCCGCGCATCAGGAGACCAAAGCCGATCACGCAACCCAGCGCTCGACCAGCCCAGCTGGAAATTGACGAGCATGAACGTCCAGACACGGCCAGGTTCGTGGCAAAGAAGCGCGCCTTGGATGCTCTATATCGAAAGGGTCGCAAAACTCGCACTCTGTCGACTGCTGCTAGCTTAGCGCAACTCCCTGATAATGACTCCGCCCCTGGTGAGCTCCAGAGCCCGGGAGATGACCTTGGCCCGAAGGCCTCTGCGTCTCCCCGGCCTCCCCAGAGGGATAACAAGAAGTCGCGTTTTCGCAAGCGGTTTGCCCCGAGGCAGATTGATCTCGAGGCACCGCGCTTCACCCATGCGAACGACCCGTTACCGGAAGATAGCCCCATCGTCCATGAGGCTGAGGAGCCTAGTTCACAAGATAAGCTGACCGGTCTGGGCCCGTATGGAACGCACTACACTCAGCACTTTGAGGTCTTCCCGCTTGACCATGGCGTCTTCTTCCATGAGAGCACTATTATAGGCCGTGGTTGTATCAACAAACTAATGGAACCCGCCTATCTTGACAAGGTTCGACAGACCCGGCCGAGGGCTTCATTTGCTATGGATGGGCAGACCTTGCGATGGGGCTCCTGGGATGATACTGCATCCTCTGAACTCGGAATCCTCGTTGATTGGATAACGGAGCAACTCTCCCACCGTGGAACTACCTCGGAGGACTTCACAGCCCTGAAGCGGGCTGTAGGAGGCTCCGAGTTTATTCTCCTCTACGTTCTAGATTCCCTGAGCTTATCCGACGACGAGGCTGCCAAGTCATTCATTGGAAGGACTGCCGAAGTATTTCAAGGACTGCTGGCGCGCATCGAGGAGTCGGCGTCCACAGTCACGATGCCAGAGACAACAAGCAAGGCATACATCGAAGTCCTCGCGTGTTCCCTCGTCACGATCTTGGCAGTCTCTCGGCTTAATCATGGCGCCGGGTCCAATTTCTCGGTCAATCTCCAGCTTGAAGAACTCCTGACGAGAGCCGCAAGACAATGCATCAAGAGGTTGCTGGGCGTGGGACTTGAGGACCTTCGAGTTCTTTATGGTGAACTTCAACAACTGTCTGGCAGGGAGTGTGGAATTCGCCGTGATCACACAATCGCCAACTCCTGGGTGGCCTTGATACGCGTTCTTGAGAGTGCTTGCATTCCCCGAAGTTCGTTCTGGGATATCACTCAGGCTGTCATGATGGAGCCCAAGATCATGTTAGGGTCTGAAGCAAAGGAGTTTGAGAGGCTTTGGCGCGACATGTTCACCTTGCTGCCCCTGTGCGAGTTCGACAACTCCGGGGTCCTCACAGTCGGCATGAGGCATCTTTCTCCAATCGAAGGCTGGTCTTTACCCCAACAGGTCTTAAAGCGCGTTTTCCAACTCTATACGAGTAACCCACGGCAGGGACCGAACTTCAACGAGTACTGCCGCGCTCTTGCTGCTCGATGCCATTACCTTATACAGCAATGGGGATGGCGGAAATGCAGCGGTATCATCGGGACTATCTTCGATTTCTTTGGGTCGCATAGCCTTGGCCACCTGCGGAATGAGGAGGTCTACAAATCGCCTCGATTCCTCGAGAACCTCGCCCATAACCCTTCCCTAGCTGTCGAGCCGGAAGATCGGTGTTTCCACATCTTCATCAAGACCCTCGCCCTGGTCATCCTCCGTATGAAGAAATTTGGGCTTACGAAAGACATCAAAAACCTAGTGGCTCGTACCCTGCCAAATCATAACAGACAATATCTGAAGGAGAACAGGGTCCGTCAACAGGACCTCGCAGCGCTAAGGAATCACCACGACCTGCTGTGTACACTGTTCTGGGCCGCGCCGCCAACCTTGCGCCCGGGCGTCCACCTGATCGAGAAACTGGTCGTTCCGGGCAGCTCTCATAAGGAGGCATGCCTCATCAATCTGCGCGCCTGGAGTCAACTTGCCCGCTATATCGTATGCTCTGGCGAGGGCAGTACTGCGTTCAGGCCCTTTATGTCCTGGCAGACGAGCACCTTCCAGCAGCTGTTGGACCAATATCTCTCCGCCGCCTCCGATATCCAACAGCAGTTTTTGGCACTACCAAAGGCTGTCCCGAGGATTAGCAACGAGGTGGTTGACTCGATGATAGAGAAGAACAAGGCGGCCGCAATGGATGTCCTGTACCTCTCCATAAAAGCTTCGTTCGAGGTATTGAAACTGGCCGGGTCGTTAGGCACTGCAACCAGCACCTTGAACATCTGTGAGCTCTAAATCCGTCCCGGAGATGCTTTAGACATCTGCTAACATGTTCTCAGACCAGTTGCAGCAGGTGTTTACACGATTTGACTTCTCGCCAGGCTTTGATTGGAGTATTATTCTGGTAGCTATCGAGACGCTCGAGCTCTATATCTCAAAGGTAGAGCAAGCGGCCGAGGCCCAGTACTCCAGCGACTCTTCGAATATGACCGATCCCCAGGAGGTGGAGGAGGCCGTTCTAGTAGGTCCAATTCGTTTTCCCTTGCGGTTTCCCCACAACTAACCATGGGTTCTACGTAGTTACTCGATCACAGAGTTGCGGAACAGTTCTTTTTCATGACTCGAACTCTCCTCGAGCTCCCTGACACAGTCTCTTTGAAGGGTCAGAGTGAGCATGGCCGATGCATTGAGAAAGCCGTGACCCTCTCTGCGAGGATGGCCTGTCGTTTCATCCACTCGGGGATTACTGTGAGTCCTAGGTCGCCGTGAGAGCGAGAGAGCAACATGCTGACTGAAATAAGCGCACTGTGAACTACTTCACGTCGAGGAAATACGGTCTATTCAGAGAGCTGCCGGTGAAGCTCGGGTCTCCACAGAGGACCTACTTGCCTCTGTTCCTAGCGACCCTGGTGAAGAACCACGTCTTCGATTTCAAAGATGTCGGGCCCAGTCTCCTCGGGTTGTGGTTGATGGCAATCGTCAAACCATTCCAGTCCCTGGCATATGAGAATTACCTAGCCGACATCCTCAAGCAGAAGAATGTTCCATATCTCCAGCGAGCTGTCGCTCCTGCAGGAATTGCCCCTGACTACAGCTCGAACAGGGACTTCCTGGCCGCTGCATTGTTGTTTATGAGGACCGACCTGCGCAACGCCAACCTGGTTCAGAGGAAACAGCGTCGCGACGAACACGCCAAGTGTCTCGAGCTGACAATGCAGAAGATGAAGGAAGACCTGAGAGCCCTGAAACCGGATCCAGCTGAGCACAAGCGGTACATGCAATTCGTCCGGGAGATTGTCGCGCTCATCAAATCTCACGGTGTGGGCATCTGTGTCGTCGACCCGTTCTTCACCCAGCCCAGCTCGGACTACTCGCCCCCCATACAAGACCCCCAACTGCACACGGCCGGCATCATCGCTTACGGAGTCAGGCTTAGCGAGGGAGAGGCAACGGCCGCTCCCCAGCTCTTCCATTATCTGTACAACAACTTCAAGATCGCCCTCGCAAACGATAAATTAGACGAGGAGTGCACCATACTTGAGCACGCCATGGGAAATCCGCACATCATTTCCTTCATGCTGGGCCGAGTCCTTCCAGCAGTCGCCTGGGCGACATCCAAGGCGAACGACGCCTGGCCGCTTCTGGATGTCTACGTGGGCGCCCTGCGGAAGCTGCTGACCCGATCATGCCTCCCGAAGGAGATTGATGAGGACAGCGTAGAAGACGTCTCTGGACTTTTGAAGAATGTCATGGCTTGGTTCCGGACTCTACAGGGATCTGATCAGCCACGCCTCTCCATAACACAGCTGCACATCATAGCGCGCCTGGTAGAGATGGCCAGCCTATTCCACCCCAGCCTAATAACGCATCTCCTCTCCGGATCCCACCCGAACACCGCAAGCCTCGGCGACCTGATGGCGTCGTTCGGCAAGTTCGCCGAAGAAGCCGCCGCCCACCTCGACGAGCTGCTCGAGACCGAAATCGTCGATGCCCAGTTGGTGCTAGGCCACCTTCAGATCGGCCCGCTGCTCGCCGGCGTCGAGGACTGCGGACACGGGCCGGGCCGGCTGGTCTTCCAGAGCGGCAGGGAGCTGAACCCTCAGGTGGACAACTTTGCAAACGTCATTGCCGCCGACGTGGGCCGGAACTGGGCCGTCACGGCCACGTCCATCTCGTGGAACGTCGCTGGCAGCAGGGGCGCGGGACTCACGCCTGCTACTACCCAGTCCGGCCCGGGGGTGAGGTACGAGTTTCGGAGCGGGCTTGAGCTGGCGAGGCAGTTGCGTCAGCACCTCGAATTGTGGATTGGGGGGAAGGGACTGAGCAGGTCGAGGGGTTGGAGGCCACGTCGAAGGGCCCGTGTGAAGGGGGAGCTGGGACCGATGATCTTCTAGGGTCTGGTAACAATAATAGCAACGCAGCGGCTCTAGTAGAAGCCATAAGTATTTTAGCACGATCGGTCCCGGTGCTGGGCCATAGCCATATAGAAGAAGCTTTAAGTAGAAAAGATACTATACACGCTTATGTGTACTTTAACCATTGGTGCTCTCGGTTCTTCGTAGAGTTGAAAATACTCGACAAGAGCTTGAGCCGTTGGAGCAACTCAGCCTTGCACTCATCGCACACAGTTGAAGTCTTGGTCTATGGCAGGTTGCCGTTTTAAACTGAATTGATATTTTGAGGCCTGTAAATACTCTAGAGGGCAAAAAAAGCCAGAGAAGGCTTCTCGTCGCCTCTTTTGCAACAAACTGATTATCTATAACTGTCCACGTACTTGTATGCTCCTCCCAACCAAAATTGTTAACGGACCTTCGCACAAGGACAAAAAAAAAGGCCGGACCCGAGTCTATATATTCATACAGATCTATACATACAGCTCGCCAAACCTCCCGCGAACACACCATCCCACGATAGCCTATTTTCCAGCTGACATACTCGAGGCTCAAAACCATCAGGGGGGGGGGGGGGGGGGGGGGGGGGGGGGGGGGGGGGGGGGGGGGGGGGGGGGGGGGGGGGGGGGGGGGGGGGGGGCT